GATGCTGGTTTGAAGCCAAAGGGTGGTCACACCAAATATTGATTTGATTTAGATTTTTCTTATATACTGTATTCTGTTCTATTATATATATTCTATTCTAATCAATCCTGGGGATGGTTGGTGCCCTGAGCTATTCGCGAATTCCATAATTTCTATGAATTTCTTTTATTATTTATTTAAGGCTGTTTTTATACTGTACTTAAATTGATTTTATGTCCTCTGTAATCCGCCCAGAGTCCCCTTTTAATGAGATGTGCAGTGACAAATTTGATAAAGAAATAAATAAGTATACACATGTACACACAGCAATCAGCAAGAAATTATCTACAGTACTAACAAGTCACCTTTGGCTTTTTATAGTACAAGGTCAGATTTATCATTAGATTTCCAGAAGACTTTTTTAAAATTTAAAAGTAGCTTAAAAGAAAACTTTAAAAGTTTCAGGAGGGGAATGGGAAAGGCACTGAGCTAAGTGATTAATCCTTTGCCTTGTACCATTTCTCTGAGCAAAATCATCCCTACCCCAAAGCTGCTTTAGTCCATTTGGGGAAAAGATATACTTCTCTGAAAGAGCATTCCACCTGATACCAGACCAGCCCTGACTCTGCTAGTCTTTTGTAAAGCTGTTAAGATTTGGATGTTTCCAAACCTTAGGGGTAGGCTGAGGGTTGTCTTAGTCTCTTTTGGATGGTGATTGTTTTATAGCTTTTCCTTGGAGCTTGGGATGTTATTTATTGTTATGTTATGTTTATGTTGTTATATTTAGTAATAGATTAAAATTCTTCTTCTGGAGATCTCTAAGACACTCAGAATCAGACATGATTGGAAGAGCATATAGCCTAGTAAAATAATAAACCCACACACACACGTCCCTTTACTTGAACTTGCTTTTGTCTTGGCAATATTAATAGGAGCTTCAAGGGGTGGCAAACATAATTATTTAAGCTATTTATGTGATAACCCTGGATCTTTCAAGGTGGTTTTTATAAAGGAAGATAAAATCATAGAATAGCTAAAATCTACAGTACAAAAAAGAATAATCATTATGGAGATGCTGTTTTTCAGTCATGGCATCTATATTGTGCCTCCTTTCAAAAACTGGACTAGTTCCCCCTCTCTTAGCTTTCCAGAAATTGGTTAAAATGGAGCTTTCCTGAAGAGTATTTGGGGGTAATTTGGGGTGATGGCATTTGTGGTTTCTTATTGCTCTGTATTCTTATTCTTATTGTTATTTTCACTGTGGACAATTTACTGCTGTAAACTTACTGGATTTTTAAACGTTGTTGGCCACTGGGAGTCCTTGAAAATGATAGCTGTATACAAATAAAATCAATCAGTCAATCAATCAACTGGAGATGGGTTTCCATGAGTGGGATAAGAGCACTGAAAAGCTCAACAGGTTTATTACTTGCCTTACATCAGGCAGTGGGCACCAGGAAAAAACCTCCAAAGATGATCAAAACATACAGGCAAGCTGACATTAGTTTTTTCAAGTACTTAGAGATTGCAAACTGTTCCGAGCTTGATATTTACCTCCAGCAATTCAAATTGTATTTGAACACAGAGTAGAAGCTTGTGATTCTTTTTTCCCCAGTATCAGTGAGATTACATTCCTCTTATTTTAATTTAAATCTCGTCATAGTTTAGGAATGGAGTTCAAACATTTCTTTTTACCCAGGCCTTATTTTAAAGGTTTTTTGATGTCATTGGTTTGCTTTATGGATGTTTGTATGCCACCAAAGTCACAAATGCAATTGGGTGCACGTACCCACACATCTGTCTACCTGAGTTTCTGAACAGACTTCAAAGGCCTCAATGCTTGATTAGAAACACCGGGTAAAATTATTTCAATTTCCTTCCCTAATATTGTTTTTAAATGTTGAAATGGATGTTGGTGATCTGATTATACTTACAGGGTAAAAATTACATCATGCCATGCTTGGTTGTACAGTCTGGCTCAGTGTATCTTTGCTGCCCTCCTGAGGTCTATTAGGGTATTTATAGCAAATTTATTGAGTATATATATTTTCTTTCAGCAGAGAAGGCAGGCAAACACTTTGTCTTTCCCAAAGGTGAAATAAATGAATATTATGGAAACATGACATAAAGGTTAAAAATTATAAATATGTAGGATGCATGGAAACAGAAGTACACTGTAGCCTACTATACCATGCCAGTCAGTGGTATAGGCTTCTATAGGAATAGAAGTGATAGTCCTATAATTCCTATAGAAGTGATAATTCTTATAGAAATGATAGTCTTCTATAGGAATGATAGTTATATTACGGCTTCCACTGTGAGTCATGGCTGACTGAAGACATCTCTGAGAATGAATGGAGACAATGACCACTGTGAAGAACGAAAGACTGGTGAGTAGACTGGTCCTTTGAAGCTCTCTGGAGAAGGAGAGAATAGGAGATCACCCATGAGTGCTCTGAATGGCAGCTCCTCATGCGACTGTAAAACAGTGGACTCCCACGGGTTGAATGCCGGGAGCTGAGGGAGATGACATCTTTGCCTTCAGCAGCTGCGGAGCCTTTAACAAGGACACTAAGTCAGCTGAACTCACTTTCTAATCACATTTAGAAATGTTCAATTTAACCACTTATCCATAAAGTGGTTAAACTGAACATTTCCAAATGTGATTAGAAAGTGAATTTGACCTTCAAAACAGTGAGTTTAATATGACACCTGGTGAGTTTTACCTTCTTTTGATTTAAGAAAATTTTAAATGGATTGGGAAATCAGAGAGATTTGGAATATTAGTTATTTTTGCTGTAAGATTTGAAAAACAAGTATATAATTAAATAATATACTTGTGGGAAATGATTGAAATGGAACTTAACTTATATTAGGAACTCAGGCTTGTGATGAAGGTTGCAAATGGACCCAAGGGGGAACTAAAGGACCAGGCAGAAAAGAGTTAAAATGGCTAAGCTGGCTATAACTTTTTCGTATCGTAAAGAGTTTTTTTAAGGTAACTGGACTGAGATATTAACCAATATTTCAGAAAGGATACAAATTTAAATGGATAAACTTTAGATGATGATGAGAAAAACTTTAAAAAACCTTTACCTGACACAGACATTATACAGTTTGAAGGCATGGAAGACAACAAACTTGAGATTACCAAAGCGGGAATACAAAAGACAAATCAAGAAAAGGATCTGGACATGGAACAGCTAGGACAAGAAATCCTGGATGATGTCTCCTTATGGGAAGAAAATGAACTGGATATGGAACAGCTACAAGAAGAAATCCTGGATGATGCCTCTTTATGGGATTTACAAAGTAGGCTGATAAAAGCTTTGAAGACTCCTCTTGAATGCCAAAGATTGATGAAAGATCAAATCCTTCGATGCCATTGGAATGATTTAAAGGTTAAGACTGTGAAGAGCGAAAAGAAGGAATATAAGTTGGACTATTTGATCAGAGATAAACTGTTTGATATTTCTGGTAACTCCTAATGGATTTTTGCTGAACCAGGATTGACAAGGTGATGATTTCTGGATTGCTTATAGGTAAAAGTTAGGCTATGGGGAGAAGAGTTTTTTTATTTGTAACTTTAAAAGAGGGCGAAAAGTTATAGTAGCTTATGTTCAATGTGATGAAGGTTGGAAGCCTTCTTTATTATTGTCTTTGTTGCCTTTTTCTTTTCTTTTCTACTTTTTTCTTTTTTTCTTTTTTCTGCACCTTCTGAACTTCTATTTTTTCTTTTAGTTTAGTTTGCATTAGTTTTTACTATGTTTATTAAAAAGTTCCATTAAAAAAAAGGAATGATAGTTATATTACAATATATATCCCAGAAGCTACTCTCCTGCTGACTCTTATTTTTTACTTATTAAATCCAAACTAATCTGCCTTGTGAATTAGAACATTTCTGGGAAAAAAAAAATCCAGAGCTCAATTTTTGAATGTTTTAAAGTAAAGGCTACCCTCTATTATTAAAAAGTAACATACGTTTGCATAAAGGTGTTGCGTGGCTCCATGTTCCGGCTTCTGTGCATTCTGCAATCGGCTCTCCTTCCAAACTGTAACCCCTATTGCAGTAATATGCAGCTCTGCTACCAACTGTATTATTTTCAGAGACAGCATTTCCATTCTCAATCAATTCTGGATCTTCACATCTGGTTTCTAAAAAGTGGTACGTTAGTTAAGACATCTCTTTTCCATTCAATCACTTAATAACAAGACACTCTTCTGGATGAATCTACATTGCCTAAAAAAGTTCAAAGACCTACAACTACTTTTGATGTGGAATTCTGGGGCATTACTACACATATCTTGCAGATTTGGAATAAGGGATGGTGTCTAAACTTAGTACATTGGCTCAGAATAAACTCCAGCCACAAGAAAACTAGAGCAACTACAAGCCCCAAACAAAACCTCATAATCACCTTCACATGTTGGAAGGGGTTGGCTCCAGGATCCATTGGCCAAGCAGGTGATGTTCTCAGGCCCAACTAAGTGATATCCAAAATTGCATACAAAGGATATATTACTTCTGTACATATTTTCTCTGGTTATGGGAAATGCATTTGTTACTGCTGGAGGGGCTTCACATCTTATGCCTAGAAAAAGAAAGAATCTTTATTTTTGTAATTCATTACTTATTCTATTTTTTCTTTGGCTATATGCTTAGGACAAGATTTTTTTTGCCAACGTGCATAGACTTTTACTTACTCACACATGTCGGAGCTAATGGGATCCACTTCTTGTTAACATGACAGATCCTTCGAGTTGGTCCCTGTAACTCATATCCCTGATTACAACTGTAGAGAACTTCATCTCCAAGTAAAAAGTCTTTGCCAATAACAGATCCATTATCTATTGGTTCGGGGGAACCACAGGATATTTCTGAAGGTGAACATATAGATTATCTTTACTTTCCTGGCAAGAGTGGGATTGTGACTGAGTCATATGAAAGGGTTTGCAGATGACTACAGGTAGTCCTCACTTAATGACCACAATTGGGACCAGCAACTCCATCACTAAGTTAAGCAGTCATTAAGTGAGACATGTGACTGTGACGGACTTACATCACTTCCCATTTGGTTGTTAAGTGAGTCACAAGTTGTTAAGCAAGACATCATATAACTGTGACTTACAATTTCACTACCAGCTACTCCATTGACTCTGCTTGTTGGAAGCTGGTTGTGAAGCCTGCAAATGGCAATCACGTGACTGCAGGGCACTGTGATGGACGTAAGTGTGATGACCAGTAATAAAGTTACTTTTTCAGCACCGTCATAACTTTGAACAGTTACTAAATAGGGCAGCCATTAAGTAAGGACTACCAGTAATTATTAAAACCATAAGCAACCTACACATTGGACTGGATAGGTTAATAGAACCCTCTTCAAATGTACCTCCTCATTCAAGATAATGGAAAAATGCATTTTACTCAGCACAATATGTGTCAGGATGACGGATGAAAGATGTTCACTAATGCCCTGAGAGATGGTCGTGGATTAATTACACACTCTATTTAATTAAATGCTATTTTAATATATTTTGACAGCTAAGACTCATTAGGCAAGTTAACACAAAATAAAAATAAAAATTAGACATTGTTATCCATAACTATAAGAATTGTAAGGAGGAACTTAATAAATAAATGAGTAGATTTTTTTTTAAAGCTGTCTTCCTATTCCTGGTCCTGATCCTGAGTACAGTACTGCTATCTCCATTCAATGACTTCTATAGCATTTGTGGAAAATGTAAACTTTATATTATAAGGGGTAAAAAAGGAAGTTGCATTTCACCATGTTATGGCAAAGTTCCAGATAAGGTGATTCATTAGAAATTAAGTGATTTCTAAACACTGAGGTTTGCAAAATGGAACTTCTAAAAATAATATTTAATGGTTAGAGTTAGATAATAATTAGACACTCTTGAAGTATTATAATGGATAATACACAAATATGAAAACTTTGATAGTTGGGCAATATGAAAGTAAAATATGACTATTAATTATCTGCCCAGAGTCGTTGAGAGTCAGGCAGCATACAAGCTTAATAAATTATTACTATTGTTGTTGTTGGTTGCACAATCAGTCAGATGTTTACCCTGGATTTGGCATTTTATCATCATCATCATCATCATCATCATCATCATCATCATCATCATCATCATCATCATCATCTCATTCTCATAGAAATAAGTGATATTTTAAATACTGTTAAACACTGTTCAGCTTCCTCAGGCAAAATCAACAAATATAGGATGTCTTTCTCTGTTTCTTTAAGTCATGTTCAAGCTAAGCCTGAGGGGAAATGAATGCATAGCTTACTTTTACACACTGGTGTTACTCCACTCCATAATTTATCTCCTTGACAGATGCGTTCTGCATCACCCTATGAGACAAGAGAATGGTTCAGAAAACACCATGATATATTCATCATTTTGTCATACTCTCACAATCTTTGAAAAACAGATCTGCCTTTGCTTTACATTCTACATGATTTAATGAAGACAAGAAGCCAACGTTTGAGGAGAACATTCTTTTTTTTTCTTAATTGTTTTATGGCACTAACTTGGGCTTCTACACAGAGGCTGCATCTTTTCCCTCCTGAAGCCACTTCTCATAATAAACAAAAAATAATTTTAAAGGATAAATGCAAGCTAAATTTTTGTTGCTTTACTGAAGCATTGTGGGCACCGTTTTTCATTTGTGTTGGGCAAAACTGTCTCCCTACTCCATTGCTATATTACCTTTTTAAAGACAGCATGATGCAATGATAATTAATTTTATTACTGTTTTTTCTTTTGATACTACTCACTACTTCGCTGGTCCTTGGATAGAAAGGTGAGGGACACATTGCAATATACATATAAATAAATGATGGAATCACATTTATTTGTGAGAAATACAATTATTTTAAGACAACATTGATCTTCATTCTTCCCATGGTATTTTCTTAATTTCTTTTACTGAAAAAAGGGATGGCTGACCACAGGTAATTGTGACAAATTTCCAAACGCAAGCCTTTGCTATTTTTTGGTATGCTATTTTAAAGCAATATGCTTTAGACACAATTTTTAGGAGTAGGTGTTTAAATGCTAACAATCTGATAATTTCCACTGCTCATACTGAAAGGTTTCATGCAAGCAACTGCTTTGACAGATTTAACTAAAGTGGTAGATTTCTATGCAATAATACTGATTTAGCACTTTTCAGACAAGTATGCAACATGAAAGTATTGGGTAGCTGTTTCTTTGGCTAGAAAATGGGTTGTTCATGACTAGCATCCATGATGTCTAGTGTTTACTAGTCATGGAATCTCTTTCTCTCTAAAGAGAGAAATTTTGTTCTCTTTAAGATGGACTATGATTTCATTTAATAAAATAAATTCCATTAACATTAAAGAATGGCAAAAAAATGGAAGCACAATGGAAAATACAGGACCATACTCCTATATATTATGATCATGGCTAAACACTTTCTTGTGCCTCCCCGTCCCCCAATTTTTGAACATGATCAGGCAATGCCTGGGCATTTTAAACAATGCACCAAAATAAACAGTGTTCTCCTGAAGGAGTTGCATTCATGTTGACTGTAAATGCAGCGCACATCCAGTATATCAACTTTTTTTTTGCATTGTTATTTCTTTAATATGGGTTGATCCTTTTCTTTAGTAAGACAAACAGCAAGTGAAGCCTACATGCACTCTTCATAATCATGTAACATATTTATATTTTATTTTCAGGTTTTCTACCCAAGAACAGAAGAAGCTATCCTAAGAAAAAGTGAGTAGTGAAAAGGATATGATTTAACTTTTTCCTGATCGAAAACTAACCTGCTATCGCATGGATCGTATACAAACGAGCAGACTGTAAAAAATATTCCGTAGACTTACTTCTAACTCATAACCCAAGTTGCATTTATAGAGAGCAGCATCTTTGTAACTGTATTGGCTGCTAAGCACAGTTCCATGTTCTGGAGCTTCAGGTTTTCCACAGGAGACAGGAGTGCAGATCTCATTTGAAAGTAATGGTACCCAGGTCCCATTATGCTGAAAGAAGGGGAAAGTATCTTCAGGCTTTGCTAAGCAATGAAAATAACTACATACAAGTTAAAGAAGATACAAAAGAGCCAGTTTGGTGTAGAGGTTACGATGGTGGACTAAAAAACATGAGACCACAAGTTCTGGTCCTCCCTTAGGCATGAAAGCCAGCTGGCTAACTTTGGCTAACTTATACTCTGTTAGGTCAACCCAAGTTGTAGGGTTGTTGTTGGGGAAAAATAGGAGGTGGGAGCATTGCATACCTCCATCTTGAGTGGTACAAAATAAGCAGAATAAAAAAATTGAATAATAATAAAAACAATAGAGAAAGCAATCTCCTTGTAATTCTAGGGAACACCTTTTATTTTCCTTTTGTGAAGAACAGAATCCTAGGTATTTTGGTACTCTATGGGCAGACAAGAAACACATAACACATCCACCCCCGTTACATTTCATAACCTGTTTGTAACATCAAACAGTATTCCAGCTAGTGATTTCCTACAGGCAATGTAGTATGGCATTTGTTTGCTGCCAATCGCTTATATATTACTTCAACTGAAAGTGCACTGATGTGTTTGGAAAAGTGAAAGAAGGCAGAATTACATCATCTGTAGAAGTGCATGCAAGAATATTTGCAGAAGCTCTCAGGGATTTCAGGAACTTTGGTCATGCAACATAGTACAGGGATCAAAGATCTACAGTAGATTAATACAAAGGGAAGTATGATCTCTGCTTTTTTGGATAGCATACATTTTTAGTAGAAGAACGTTATTTCACACAAGGTTATTACTGGGATGAATCATTTTGGGAAACCACTGAAATGATCAGGTTATAGAAAGAACTAGTCAACAAACATTAGGAGCAGAGTTTTCTTCTAAATTATTAAATCACATACTATTTTATTCTAAACATTCTGAAGCCTGGGCCATTCCATCCTAAATAATCAACCTGATAATCACAGATTTGTTGGCATTTGCAGAATCATTACACAGGATGAAAGGCACTTACAGACAAGATGCATTTTAAAAAATCACTGGGGGCAGGTCCATACAATTTTAACCCATTTTATCCCAAAGCAAAATAAACAAATAACACCTATTTTATGGTAAATATGATCTTTGATATTCAACAAATATTCAGAGGGAGGTGACCTTCTGAGTGTTCTTGATTTTTAACTGGCTGAAGACACATTTCAAAATATCCTGCAAGATCTTGTAAAACAATAGTTGTGGACAATCCAGCTTTTCCCTTATTGGCTTTAGAAAGCTTAAAGGGCAGAATTATTTTGAGAACAGTTTTGGTGTTGCTCTTTGTAATAAACAGAACACTACTGGGCCGACCCTCGGCAACACTGAAATATGACTATAAGACAGGGCATTTTAAAATCAAAACAAAACAGATTGGAAAAAAAATATTTACCTGGCATGTGGAAGTGCTGGTACCAGTCAAAAGATAGCCTTCTGGACATGATAAGGTAATGCTTTTATTCACAGTAAACTCAGTACCCAAAATAATAATATTGGTTATATTTGGTGGCATGGGACATTTTCTGGGGCAACAGGAAATAATGTTAGGGAACCAGTGCCCATCTTCCTGACAGGTGCATATATCCATTTCTGCCTCCATCACATAACCCTCCAGACATCTGAAACAAGGTACACTTTTGTCACCCATATGAACTGTTATATATTCCGCATTAATCATTCTTCACCTTTAGTTATGTGCCCTGAGATGCATCAACTGGCAATTTCAGTTCAAAAGAATTTCAGGGACCTACTCTTGCAAATCTGTGTTTGGTGGAAGAACAAGCCTAACAATAGCCACCACAAAAGGAGGGTTCCTGACAGTTAATAGGACTGATAACTCTGATAATTAGTCTACAGGATGATAACAGATTGACCACACCATCCTCAGAGACTTCCATCTTTTAGATGGAATGAGTATTGCTAAGCTTCCTTTGGTTGTGCTTCTCTTCTATTTTGGATAGCGCTCTACAGAATTGCATCCTGCCAGTAATAATGGTTCAAAAGCCAATTAATGCAATGCAACTTGAGAACAACATGCCTAGGTGCATAATTCCTGACTAATGGTAGGAAACTCCTGTCAGTTTAATTCAGAAATTATTTCACATTTATAAGCATTCTTAGACAACTCTAGACCTCTGTGAAACTATTAAGTATATATGTGTACTTAATGTGAGACTATCAGCACTTCTTACCTGTACTGAACTTTACTTCCATAGTCTTGTGAGTCTCCAAAAGCAACTGCATGAGGCACAAAGGGTGGAGGTCCACAGGTCAGTAATGTGCAATTTGGGTATGGCCTGCTCCAGACCCCTGCTTCTGTACATGTCAATTCCGAGTTTCCTTGCATCACATAACCCATTTCACAATTATAAATTATGGTGTTGTGATCCACAGAGCTGCCCCCATTGATAAACGCATTGGGAATCATGGGTGGAGAGCCACATGAAATCAGCCCGCAGTGTGGAAGGCCAGAACTCCACTTGCCAATAGCTTCACATGTGATTTCTGAAGGCCCTAGAAGTTTGAAACCTTCTAGGCATTGAAATTGTATCTTCTTGCCACAACCAAAATTGTTACCTATAACTATCCCATTCTGAATAGCTGGTACAGGGCATTCACAAGGCAGGCAAGAAGAGGGTTTTCCACTCCATAAACCATTTGACTGACATTGCCTCACTGGATTACCCTCCAACTCATAACCAGGGAAGCAAACATATTCTATATATTCCCCATAACTAAAGAGGGAACCATTCAGGAAACCATGAGAGATGTCCTCAGGAGGCCCACAGTTGACAGGTTCACAGAATGGAGGTTCTTTATCCCATGTACCATTAGCCTGACAGGTATGTAAGAGTGCACCACGCAATATATACCCTTCATCACAGAAATACTTAATTCTCTTTCCAATGCCAAATTCTGATCCAATTATCTGCCCATGAACAAGTTTCACTGGTTCAGAACACTGGATTAGCCTACACACTGGAGTACTCCCATTCCAATTTCCATCTGCAAGACAGACTCTCTTTCGATCCCCTTCCAACAGGAAACCTTCTTTGCAACTGTATTCAATATAGTTTTGAAATGTATATTCTTCTCCACTCACTTCACCATTCTCTAAATAGGGAGCTTGGCCACAGGAAATGGGAATGCATAATGGATCATTTCCATCCCATTTTTGATCAGACTGGCAGGTTCTCTTAACTAAACCACTTAGCTGAAACCCATGATCACAATCATACTGGACCACACTGCCATATGTGTAAGATTCTCCTTTTACTATGCCATTGATGGGTCTGCTAGGCACTGCACATGATATTATCTCACAGGTTGGTGCTGAATCACTCCACTGCCTACTAGACATACAATGTCTTGTATCTGATCCAATCAGTTTATAGCCTGGCTTACAAGTATATTTCACTGTACTACCAATAGTGTTCTCTGTAAAATGTACAAAGCCATTTTCTGGAAACAGTGGTAATTCACACTGAATGGAAATGCAGACAGGAGCACTACCATTCCACATTCCATCTTCTTGGCAAGCTAGCATGGAATTTCCTAAGAGTTCATAGCCAGAATAGCAACTATACAACACTGTAGTCCCATATAAATAGCCTGATAGTGGTAAACTATTAATGGCTTTTGAGGAATGTTGTGTGTCTTTCTGAGATAAATGAGATTGGCTAGCAATAAGGAAGCTCTCTTCTAATATATCCTCTTGGCCAAAATGCTTTTCTTCACTGCTGATTGTTACATATCCTCCAAAGTCTATATGGGGAGGAAGGCCACAGTCGGTTGGTAGACATACTGGACTAACACTAGACCATCCTGATTCCTCACAGATCTGCATAGCAAGACCAGAAAGCTGGAATCCTGGAATACAGCTGTATATAACCATGGCACCATAGCTGTAATCTGCACCTTCTACGAACCCATTCTCAATAGGCTGGGGAGGATCACAGTTAATTGCTCTACAAGATGGAGTGCCTGCATCCCACTCCCTCGTTTCCAGGCAGGTTAGGACATTCTGCCCCTCAAGTTGGAATCCTCTGTCACATGAATAGGTAATTGTCTGTTTGTAGTGTAGATCAATATATGAATATCGGCCATTCTTAATGTCCTTGGGTTTGGAGCATTCAATGGGTTTGCAATAAGGCTTTCCTCCAAGCCAACGTCCATCTTCTCCACAAAGAATTGTCATGTTTCCTATTAACTCAAAACCTGGTTTACAATTATACAGTGCCGTGCTGAGATAGGTAAGGCCTTGCACATCTACAATACCATTCCGAATTTCCTCTGGCTGTGGGCATTCCACTGGAATGCATTCTGGAAGTGGAGAACTCCATGTACCATTTGCTTGGCAAATAATGGTAGACATTCCCTTCAGCAAAAATCCATCCATGCACGTATAGCTCACTGTGCTACCAAAATGCAGAGAAGGCACCACATGGTCCCCAAAAGGAATATGTGGAGGTTTACGACAGAGTACCATTTTGCAGACAGGAAAAGAGTCATTCCACTGTTGGGATGACAAACATTTCAGGATGGAAGCACCATACAAAATAAAGCCCTCTCTGCATGACAACTGTACTACCCCTACTTGATCAGTCATCTCCTTCAAGACAAGTTGATTCTCAATTAATGGTGGCTCTGGACACTTAGTTGGGACACACTGGGGGCTTTGTTTTTTGTTCCACATTCCAGACTTCTGACAGGTCCAAGAAACATCTCCAATCAATTCATAGCCTTCATCACAAAAAAAAGTGACTTTGGCTCCCACTTCAAATTTTTTTCCCTTGCTGAATCCATGCTGGAAAGGAGGTGGTTCTCCACAATTGAGGATCACACAAGAAGGTGGTGCTTCACTGTACCACTGACGATTTGACTGGCAAAATAACCTTGCACTTCCAATCAACTGGTAACCTTCATCACATTGGTATGTCACCTCACTTCCAAAGAAACGTCCTGTTATATTCTGTAAAATGGATAAAAGAAATGTTATAGCTGAAAAAATGATATACCATCAACATCTTAATCTAATTTTACAAAACAATAGCTAACTTATCCCTCACTTTAAAAAAATGACAGAATCTAGGCTTTCAGCATACAATTAATTAATTAATTAATTTTCTATAGCCGCCTATCTCAACCAGTGAAATTTATGAAATATGTTAGTTTACAAAGTCTTGATGGACGTGAAATGCATATGCTGTTTTTAAAATGTGTGTCTGTGTGCATGTGTATGCAGTTTTCTTATGCAGAACCACCAATCTTTTTGGCACTACTGCAAATCTACCTGCTTAGCCACTGAAAAGTTTTCCAGATTTGTGTCGGTGCTAAAAGTGCTGCAGCTATCCCATGACACCACATTTCTGATTTCGCCTAACATGAATGCATTCCCATAATTACAAAAATTATCTCACTTTTAATAAGCTTTCAGGATTTTAGACAATATGTTGAATCTACCAAATGCACAAACATTATTTTGCTTATGTTCAAGACCATACCAATACCTTAATCATTCCATTTGCAAGTTTTAGTGGCTCACCACAGGACACTGGATGACAAGTTGGCATAGTACCGCTCCAAGTTCCTGTTGCTTCACATGTTCTCTTCTTCTCTCCTTTGATATAGTAGCCTCTAATACAGCTATAAGCCACAATGGCTCCAAAACTGTAATTTGTGCCAATCGAATACCCATTTGCAATGCTTGCTGGTTCTCCACAACGAACAGGGATACACTGGATAGCCAAGGGGGAAGGATTCCACTGACCACCTCGAACACATTCAATTTTAGCAGAAGTGTTTAAAATAAAACCTTCCATACACTTGAAGCTCACAACTGACCCAGCTGTAAATCTGGCCTTGTTTGAAGATTCCAAGATGCTGTATGACGCAGACACTGGCCTCTTGCAGAAGTCAGCTATGCACTCAGGAATATCTTTGTCTGCAGGGGGCACCCATTTGCCCTGGGAATTGCAAAGTAACTGGGAATTGCCAGCCAGACTATACCCATCAGAGCAATAGTAGATCGCTATATCGCCAAATAATCGATGACCACTCTCTGGAGAAGCATGTTCCACAGGAGGTGGCTCATCACAGGATACCGCCACACACTGTTGATGACTGAAGTCCCACTTGCCATTGGACAAACATTCCACAGTGTCAGGGCCAAGTAATGTGTAACTATGGGTTAGAAAAAATAGCAACGATAGATTCATAAGGACTGCATAGACAACTTTTATTGCCTTATAAACTTCTAACTTATAGACTACAGGTTGAAAGTCACATTTGAAAGACATTTGTATAATTGGCTAATATATGAAAATGCATCTTTGTTGTAAATGATCTAATGTGGTTTTTTTTTAAAGTGTACTAGCTAGTACAGTAAAACCTTGGTTTATGAACATAATTCATTCCGGAAACATGTTTGTAATCCAAAG